TTGAATTAGGAAAAGGAAATTAAAGAAATCTTTTTAGTGCAATGCGTATTAACATAGAGCAACAACATGTTAGAAGTTACGAATAACAATATCTTTAATAAAATCAAATTTCTTTTGAAATCCAAGACCTAGAAGCAGTAGTGCTATTAAGGATAGTTGGATAATAATGCACGGTGCGCGGGCGCAAGGCATAACGTATAATTGGGTTACAGCGGACCCGTCAGCACCGCGGCCGACCTTACGTAAACACTGTCACAACAACTCCACCACCGCCGCGCCGTGTTGGAACTGTAGTAACCACTTCTTATGTTCAAACAATATGTTAACATTGTCAAGAATATATGAAATACTAGGTGAAATACTAACAAGCTAACCTGAAACCTGGAGAACCTGGTGCCGCAACAGTCGATCGAATGTGGTTATTATTGAGTGGACCTGTGTTTACCGTATTGAAGGCACGAACGTCAAATGTTTAACAAAAATGTAGGAAAATGTCCTTGCATTTTTTCCATTTTGACGTGAAAATGCACGCACGAAAAAGAATGACTCATGCGTCGTTACTTCGCTCAGGCGTTCCATTTAAGGCTTGAAGTGCAAATGAGAGCGCGCAACGAGCGACAAAGAGGCACAATCGGCCTCCACGTTCGGCAGCGTTCGACATCTATCGAGAGATAGCAGAGCAGGAGAGATCCTGCTTGAGTGAGCGATGCGTCCGCGTGGACAGCTGCTATACAATAATACATTTAAATGTTTTCGTCAAGTATGAAGTGCAGTCAAAAGTGAATGTGGTGTCAATTGTTTATAGCAACGATAAAATTGCGGCGATTAAGGTAATGATATCACACATGTTTAAAAGCTGTAAAACAATTGCTCAAAGCACATTCATACTTGTGAAAACTATGAACATTGTAAAAAAACGTTGTCACGTCAACTATCGTCAGTAAATCGACTTTACAGACAACCGATTTTTTTTCTCAACGTACATCATAACTACAACAAACATTGCAAAACCAAAATCAGCTAAATCGGGCCAGCTAATTTCGAGTTTTGGCGAGCCAAACGAACCACATTTGATTTTTATATAAAAAAGATTATGTTTTGGTTATTCATTCATTTATTTGAGATTTCAATTCTTTTGTCGTAGAGCCACAAATTCACAGGTAATATTGAACTTATATAAGTTTATTAATTAGCTTATATAAGTTTATTTATTATATAATAACTTCTAAATACATGTGTATTTAAATCCACCTCACTGCTAATTCGTAATGACCTGCTTTTAACGTGGGAACGAAAGAAAAAGGTAGAATGCGCAAGCGGCTATTTAGGAAGTGAAATTTATCTCAAAAGAACTTCCTTTTAATATTCTCCGATATCAATATAACATACTTCTCTAAAAATAGAGTTAGGTCATATAAGCAGAAAAGCAGCAGTTTCTTAAATTATTATTATACTTTTAGAAAGTTTGATAAAAACTGTATGTGGCTCGAAATGTTGGTTGAAATTATAATTCTGACATTATTAATGAGTAACGAGTCCATTTCAACAACTGGTGATTTAGTTTTCATTTTATTTCGCTCATGGGAAAGATTTCAACGCGCATTAACAATTGCGCATTTCATATGAAATAGTATTGTCTATATATATATATATATATATATATATGTCTCGATTGAATAACTAATTAATCAAGTGAGGTGAAATCCAGTAGATTTAATGACTGATGGGGAAAATAATAGTAATAGCTAATTGTCATTATTAACGGTAATAAACAGAGATCATATTTTATTATTTTTCTAATGGCAATTAAACCCAATTCTTCATTTGACCAGCTGTTAAAACGATTACAATGAATAAGTCGGAAATTGTAAGATAAACAGGTAATGAACATTTGGATTTTTTTAGATAAATAAGTAATATACTTAAATTAGTGCGAATATAATCCGCACGAACAAATTAATGTGCTTCCTGTGTCGAATATAAGCCTAATTTAATCGTGTGATCGCGGTAATTAAATGTTTTCTTTGTTATGATTCCCCAAATCAGAAAGCCCGTAATAGTACAGTCAATCTGTAGGTTGAGTGGTGAAAAAAAAACCTAAAGGGTAAGTCTTGTTTTTTCTGTTGCCAAATGACGTCAGTAAGCTACCTTGGCGATGGGCATGTTCAACTCGTAGGCGTTTTTTGAAAAACTCAAAAAAACCGTCAAAAATTTTTGAAACGCATTTTTCTTGTTTTGTATGCATTTTAGAAACTTTTTTTTTGACCATAATTGTAGAGGGCGTTGAGTACTACAATTTATGTCATTGTTGCAATCTCGTACAACAAAAAATGCGCATTGTAGGTGGCGCTAAAGTCTCAAAAAAGTGTTTTTTCACTTTTTCACCCTGAAAATATTATAAATGTGCACTGCAAATGTGTACGTGAACTGCCCAAAACTGCTCTATTGGATTTTTCATACCTGCGCAATTTATAACTTGAAAACGGTAAGTAATACAAAAAAATTGTTTATACAAAAGTTGTTGGTAATTATGTACGAAACAACTTTGCCATTTAAAGTTTTCCATTAAAATGATATTTTCAGGATGAAAAAGTGAAAAAACACTTTTTTGAGACTTTAGCGCCACCTACAATGCGCATTTTTTGTTGTACGAGATTGCAACAATGACATAAATTGTAGCACTCAACGCCCTCTACAATTATGGTCGAAAAAAAAGTTTCTAAAATGCATACAAAACAAGAAAAATGCGTTTCAAACAAATTTTGACGGTTTGTTTGAGTTTTTCAAAAAACGCCTACGAGTTGAACATGCCCATCGCCAAGGTGGCTTACTGACGTCATTTGGCAACAGAAAAAACAAGGCTTACCCTTCAGGTTTTTTTTTCACTCAAACGATATTTTTTTCGACAGATTGACTGTACTATAAGTATAAACTATTAAGTTAAATTACCAAATCAATACCACTAGGTTATTTTAAGGTTAAAAAGGCTATTTTAATAACTAAAATCACACGAAACTGATTATAATTGTTAGCTCACAATAGGCGAACGGAGGAGCAAGGTATTTAAAATTTACCAATGTTATCAATGACATAAGTTGTAAATACCAAGTGCGGAAACTCTCGGAGCATCTAAAGAAATTTTTCAGTGCCAAGTTGAAATTCAGAATCTAATAGTATTTATTATGTAACTAGTTGTAATAAAATCTTGTGTGTTATAGTGTTTATATCTAAGTATTTAGTCATGATACCACTTAAATTTTGGTGCCAAAAGAGCCAAACAATAGTTTAAAGGGCTTAAAGAGTAATGGGGAATTTCCACCACGAGCGGAGCAAAGCGGAGTTCGTTTACTTTGCAATATAAGCATACATTTGTTTTCACCAACAAAGAGTCGAGCGAAAATGTCAAAGAGGGCAAAACAAAAAGAGTAAAAATGAGCTAGTTACTTCGGAATTCTTTCTCGGTGGACAAGCAAACCTATTTTATGTTCATGAAGACCGCTTCGCTAAAAATTCCTAGTTCATTCATTTCTCTTTGGCGGTGGAAAACGGGTTTAAGCTGAAAGAGTTACAAATATTGGATTACTTAATATGACAATGACGTGCGCACGTGAATGACAAGTGTCAAAGGCCGATTAAACTCCACTGACTGTGGCGAAAGCCGGATTAACACGCCATGAGGTGATAGTATGTATATTTTTGAGTTGGAAAAATATCAATTATATAAGCTGCAACCATCTGAAAAAAACCATCGCGGTCTACTGTCAACTAAGTCCCAATAGTTTTATTTCTAAAGAAAAGAGATCCTGACACAACCATGTGGCAACAAGGAATCTAACAAAATAGCACAAACAATATTTTAATGCTATATTTTATCATGACAATATACATATCACATTCTTTACTCTTCAGACCGTATTTATGTTGATCTTTTTAAATATTAGCGTTTGAATTATGTAAATAAGGTCTAGGTACCAGCAAACAAATTGCATTTACGGTTCGATGGCTCGACTAACTGCTTCTGTATGAATTAAAACCTTGGCTGCGATATAAATCACAGTTTACACCACACACAATAACCCAACTTGAAGGTCACAAGTCGGAAGTATATCGGAAGGAAGTAATGCGCAAGCGTAACGCTGCACAGATTTCTCTCTTCGCTATTTATATGCCCGCCGTGTGAAAGTTGTTTTTCTTGCTTTAGTAGAGACTCGATCATGTGTGTTAGCTAGTTTTTGCTATGTGATCGTGTAATGCACGAGAATACTGAACAACTGTGACATTGTGACGAAACCAGTTCTATAGATCGTAAGATTTTTTTACAAAGAATGTGATTATAATATTTATTTTTTAAGCATTTAACTGCTAGATGTTTAAATCGAGTCCCTTTTTTTCTAGTAAAATTTTCTTTAGATTTGAAGAATGTTATTTCAGGTTTTTGATCACATAATTCAATTTCTTCTGATAATTGCATTTTACTAGACTACCACAAATTCAAAAGGTTAAAACTACATAAATGATTTTAACACTAACCGCCTTACTTATAAACGAAAAATAAGCTTGGATTTGTTACTTCATGTTTTGTCTCTGTTCATTGATTGACAAATGGCATTTGAGTGATAGGAACAAAACACGGTGTAGCTAGTCAAAGCTTATTCCGCGTTTATTAATGTGTCTGTTTAAATCGGTTTAACTAGAGTATAAACCTGAGGTTACCTAAAAATGGGACTATAAAATTCATTTGCAATCGCTTCGAGTAGGATATCAAATAAAGAAAAATGAGAGAAGTGAAATTTTCGTGTTTAAAAATATAATTGAAGGAATATCTTAACCTACTAGCTTAAATTATACGGAAATAAGAACGATTCTTTTTATTAGTAATGTAGGTAACTTTTTTGAGGGTGGTTCCGTTTCTCCTAAAATTGTGGTATGAATATTGCTCTGATATTCAAAATGTCAGTGATATTATCATAATATTTACCTTCTCTATTTCTCTATTCCAGTACGAGAACAGTGCAAGAAACAAAAGGATGGGACGTGTTCCGAGAGTTCCCACCGAAGCAGGACAGCGTGTCTATGGAGACGCAGAAATGGCTGGAGTGCACAGTCCGGTTCATGAAGGTGCTGGCCTACCTAATTACCTTCATAGTGGTGTTGGGCTCCGGCGTCATCGCCAAGGGCACAGTCCTCTTCATGACTTCGCAGCTCCGTAAGGACAGGAGACTAGCTTATTGTAATAGAAATTTAGGTGAGTCATTGTGAATTTTTTTTTGTTTATTTGTTTTGCAAAGTAGGGCTTTATTAACAGATTTTCAAATTATAGTAAGGTTTCCTAACAAGATTTAACAATAGCGACGTTACCAAAAACTGTTGTGCGACTTTCAAACATGAAAGCAAACTAAAAAGTTTTGTAATGCTATCAAAACTCGTATAAAGTACCTATATCAGTCTAAAAATATTTTATCCTTTACCTTATTATACATTCTTGGCTGATTTATTCAAATCTCGACACATTCTACTTTTAACCTTCGCTACATTCTCCGCAACCCTTTTCCATGGAGAGAGATAAGTTTAATGGTTTATTATTTTTGATTCTTTCATAAAATTAAAATAATGAATTAAGTGTTTATTTCTGTGGATTTAAGGCGAATAGGCGAATATTTAACATTCAACCTAATTCTGATACCTTTTTTAACTTAAATCTTAAAACGGCAGTTTGCATTTACATTCTATATACCTATATGCTATTAGGAAATAGAATTTAGTAACGTTATTATATTAAATATAAACATGTAATAAATGTTCATAATTCTCGTTTTCAGGTAGGGATAAACAATTTCTAGTGAGTTTACCAGACGAAGAGCGTGTAGCATGGATGTGGGCGGTATTAGCATCATTCGCGATTCCAGAAATGGGAACACTCATTCGTTCACTTAGAATATGTTTCTTCAAGTCTTCGAAGAGGCCGTCGTTTACACAGTTCGTGGTGGTATGTAATAAATGAATTCCATATAATACACTTCCGCAGTGTAACTTTTGCATTGTTAATAAACATTTGAGTCTTTGCTTTTCAGGTGTTTATAGCAGAATCTCTTCATACTATAGGAATGGCTCTTCTATTTTTCGTGATCCTACCAGAACTAGATGTAGTTAAAGGAGCTATGATTACCAACTGCCTGTGCATAGTGCCCGCTATACTTGGACTACTGTCACGAAACTCGAGGGATAACAAAAGATTCATGAAAGTCATCGTGGACATGGTGGCGATAGCGGCACAAGTCACGGGATTCATCGTGTGGCCACTCTCGGAAGATAAACCTGTCTTATGGTTGATTCCGATAGCGTCGTTGTGTATATCGCTCGGTTGGTGGGAGAACTACGTGACACGTCAAAGTCCCATAGGTAAAGAAATACATATTTGTATAGAAAATATCTTCGTCTTTCTGGGAAATATATTCAATATTTTATCCCGAGACATAAATTGTATTCCGTCACTAGTCTTCGGATTGTGAGTTAAATATTTTTAAACACGAACAACTTCGGTGTAGACAGCGTATGAAACGACGTGCTCATAATATTCTTGAAAAGTTGAAATATCTCGATCGCAGGAAGTAAAAATTCTCACTTATATCTCAGCATAAACAGTTCCATTTCAAAGTTTTGTGAGCGATATTATGTTACATTCCATAGCGAGAAGCCAGCTTGGGCCAGCGTAAGAATGAATACACATGGGAAAAATGTGTACCTTATAGTATGTGTAGTTAAGATTCTATCAACTGACGAGGTAGTATAATATGATGAGCTCGTAACCTGTAGCTATATTTCTAAGATAGTAATTTTGATCTATGTCGTATTATCATTGGGCTCGGCGAGTGGTACTTACTTATTCATGTACCCTCTGTCACTCCATAAGGGATACTGTCTAAATGATGTCTGCGTAGATACCATAGCTAAATCCATGATAGATACATATACTGTGTTCTTTTTCTTTGATTACAGGAATAATCAAAAGTTTAGGACGTCTTAAGGATGAATTAAATGCTTCAAGATATTACACATATCGATTTATGTCAATTTGGAAGATAGTTCTTTTCATGATGTGCATTCTCTTCAGTATATGGATGGAGGGTGATGAACCTTCGATGTTTTTCGACATGTTTAACACAGGATTTGGCCCACACAATATTGTCGTTGAAGAAGTAAATAAAGACTGATATATTAAAGTTGAATGTAATCTGTAATGTCTTATTTTACTTATTAACTTTAACTTTGTTTCAGGTCCAAATTAGCCTTGGTGGAACAATAATACCGGATTTAGCTAATGCTACCCTCACGGGAGATTCTGTAGAAGTAGCTGCGGTTTACAAATCAGCATTCTATGTCATGCTAATACAGATATTTGCAGCATATTTCTGCTACATTTTCGGAAAGTTCGCTTGCAAGATTCTTATTCAAGGCTTCAGCTACGCTTTTCCTATTAATTTGGTCATTCCGTTAGTGGTTAATTTCTTGATTGCCGCGTGTGGTCTACGGAAAGGTGATACTTGTTTCTTCCATGGAACAGTGCCAGATTATCTGTTCTTTGAGAGCCCGCCAGGTAAATAGTTTTCTTGGCTGCCTTATTATTGACATTTCTCTTTCTAAGTTAATCTTATAAGTTTGACGATACAAAATTTAAGATTATGTAAATTTATCAATGTCCTTTTAAAATTCTTTTCAACTCAATTTTCAGTTTTCACTCTAAGTGATTTCATAACTCGACAAATGGCATGGGTGTGGCTTCTATGGCTTTTGTCACAAACTTGGATTACTATACATATATGGACACCGAAAGCCGAACGTCTAGCGTCCACTGAAAAGTTATTTGTAATACCGATGTACAACGGATTGCTTATAGATCAAAGTATGGCACTGAATCGTAAAAGAGATGACCAGAAAGATGTAAAGACTGAGGTGAGTGTCATTGGACGTCTTTTCTTTGAAGACATTTGGTATATTGCATAATAAAAACAAATATAAGTAGTTTCATTATCGCTGCACGAAGTTGTGCGAACATACTAGTACTCAAAACTGGCTTAGTATGTACTTACTTAATGAATTAGTTCTACTGATTTCATTTGTTTTATTGTTTCACTACAATTATTTAAAATTTTACTAAGTCAATAAAATTAAATACTAAATTAAACCAGTTCTAATGCAAAAATTTTTGATAAAACAAATTCTAGGGTCGAATGTCTGTTCATTTATTCATCCACACTGAAACGGAGTCAGATTATATTTAACACGAATTTAGATAGCTTATCCAAATTCGTGTTAATATAATCTAAATAGAACATTAACAGGGGCCGGGAGTTTATTAGATATAATGAAAACGATGGCAAATTCCGGTATATCTTTGCAAAAATGCATAATTGTAAAATGTGTAATTAGAAATGATCTTCTTTTTTCCCTAAACTAACTACTATGTCTTATTTTTAGGATCTTGCGGAAATAGAAAAAGAGAAGGGCGATGAATATTACGAGACCATTTCAGTTCATACAGATAATACAGGATCTTCACCCAAGACAGTCAAATCGTCGGATCAAATTACTAGAATATACGCGTGCGCTACTATGTGGCACGAAACTAAAGACGAGATGATGGAGTTCTTGAAATCTATTCTGCGGTTAGACGAAGATCAATGCGCTCGACGAGTCGCTCAAAAGTATTTGCGTGTTGTCGATCCCGACTACTATGAATTTGAAAGTTAATATGGACCTTAACATAAACAGTTTTAATAGTACTGTGCATTAATGGAATAACATAACATCAATTTTTAATTTTACAGCTCATATTTTCTTGGACGACGCTTTCGAAATATCAGATCACAGTGACGACGATTCTCAAGTGAATCGTTTCGTTAAACTCCTAGTCGATACTTTAGATGAAGCAGCCTCTGAAGTTCACCAAACGATTATTCGCATACGAGCGCCGAAGAAATACCCCGCACCCTACGGAGGACGATTGTCATGGGTTTTGCCGGGCAAAACCAAGATGATTTGCCATTTGAAAGACAAAGCAAAGATTCGTCACAGGAAACGTTGGTCTCAGGTAGCTTTTGCAAGAAATAAATTCATCTTTAGAAGAAATGATAGTACACAATTCATGCTTCAATGCAAAACCAGGATGTTTTTGAAGCATTATTTTTTGTTTGTTGTCAGTTGTAGTTATCGCTTTAAATTGTTTTAGGTCATGTACATGTACTACTTACTCGGTCACCGTCTAATGGAGCTCCCGATATCTGTGGACAGAAAAGAAGTGATGGCCGAGAATACGTATTTGTTGACACTTGATGGAGATATTGATTTCCAACCGCATGCTGTACGTTTGCTTATCGACTTGATGAAAAAGAATAAGAACCTTGGCGCTGCTTGCGGTCGTATTCATCCTGTTGGATCAGGCAAGACGATTTATCACACCTATTTTTTGTTAATACCTACAATTTTGATAAATCAATGTATGATAGAGTTTACAGAAACACGTTCACATTTCTCTAGACTAGAGTAGTGCCCCACTACATCTTTAAAATGCATCTCAATCCCATTTAAGTTTAACAGTTTTTTGTATACAGCTGTTTTTTACTTATTTTTGAAATACTTTAAATCTTTTAAGAAAGAGTTAAGGGATTTCTATTTGATTTCATATATTCGTAGGTCCCATGGTGTGGTATCAATTGTTCGAATACGCTATTGGCCATTGGCTGCAAAAGGCGACTGAACACATGATTGGCTGTGTACTCTGTAGCCCGGGATGTTTCTCACTGTTTAGAGGAAAAGCTCTTATGGACGATAACGTAATGAAAAAGTATACACTGCGTTCTGATGAGGCACGGCATTACGTACAATACGATCAAGGTATTACAAATTTTGGTATCGAATTCCATGTAATGATTTTCTTGAGCAGAACTTTAATTATGTTGATTGACTTGCAGGTGAAGATCGTTGGTTATGCACGCTTTTACTACAGAGAGGCTATCGTGTAGAATATTCAGCTGCTTCTGATGCTTACACTCACTGTCCCGAAGGCTTTAGTGAATTCTACAACCAACGTCGACGGTGGGTGCCATCCACTATCGCTAACATTATGGACTTGCTAATGGACTACAAACACACGATTAAAATAAACGATAATATTTCTTCGCCATACATTGCATACCAGGTAAACTATACAAAATAGAATCCACTTTTCTTTTTGTCTGTTTGCTGGATTCGTTTGTTTCTATAATATTGTTTTTTTTTCTCTAGATGATGTTGATGGGTGGTACTATTTTGGGACCCGGAACTATATTTCTTATGTTGGTGGGGGCTTTCGTGGCTGCATTCAGAATCGACAATTGGACTTCCTTCGAGTATAATTTGTATCCCATTATGACCTTCATGTTTGTATGTTTCACGATGAAATCCGAAATTCAGGTGAATACATTTTGTTTGATACTATCATAATCAACTTGCCTTTTGGTGATATGTATTTATGTTAATATTGATTGTTTTTTGCAGTTACTGGTAGCACAGATACTTTCGACAGCCTACGCTATGATAATGATGGCTGTAATCGTCGGTACTGCTCTTCAGTTAGGCGAGGACGGCATAGGTTCTCCCTCAGCTATTTTCTTGATAGCTCTTTCTAGTTCATTCTTTATAGCTGCTTGTTTGCACCCTCAAGAATTTTGGTGTATCGTGCCTGGTATCATATATTTATTATCTATTCCATCTATGTACTTGCTATTGATATTGTACTCCATTATAAACTTGAACGTTGTATCGTGGGGTACTCGTGAAGTACAGGTGAAAAAGACTAAAAAGGTGAGTTGGGCTTATTAAATTTCTTGTCTCATATAAAATGTATATACATTGTTTTATTATTGAAGTTATACTTCTTTAGGCGCGTTATGAAAAAACGATGAGAGTGAAATTTTTAGATGCGCGCGCATCACTGTAACCCAAAAGTAACAGCATGAAGTTGGCCGCGGGCGCGTTATGAAAAATTCATGTGAGTGAAAAATCGAGATGCGCGCGCATCATTGTAACACAATAGTAACACCATGAAGTTGGCCGCGGGCGCGTTATGAATGTTAGTGTCTAATTATTAGACATCTGTTCGAAAGGTACTTTGAACGATCCACGGAGCTCCATAAGATGATCGCGTTGTCAAAAACAATGTTGGTACGCTCGTCGCCTCTGATCACTGTTTTCATATTTATAATATTTATCCACATGTTTCTAGTTTCTATATAGACACAACGTGTTTTAGTTACTTACAAGTGCTAATTACATATGGACTAATAACTTAAATTCAGTAGTGATTTTAATTGAATATTTTGAATATTTATTTAATTTTTCAAATTAAAACTGAACTTAATTGACTGTGTTCACTATCCTTTTCCAGTCCTTTTATAATTTTATTGTAATTATTAATTATTTGCATGCAATTAAAAAATATTTTTAATGATGCTAAAGAAGTATAACTTCTCACGCGCGTACATAAGTTACACGCATCCATTTTTTTAATGTATTTATATGCCTGTCTACTTGAGGTATTATAGATTTCTTAATACTATAAGTGCTTGACGTTGCAAGATCTTTATATGAAACCAGGTGCTGGTAAAACAGGTCGATCAAAAGAGCTTTTAGTAAGAGAATTTGATTAGAAGTTCAATGGGTTTACAAAAATAACAGACTCTCTCTACTGTAGCCGATTTATCTAGAATTTTAAGATACCAGAAGTGAAGTTGAACTGAGAAAGGATTGGGATTACTCACAATGATAACTTTTCTCTTAAAGAATTTTTACATACACATAAGTCTAAAGGAAATTACAGAGGGCAGTCGCCACATAGAATTAAAAAATTATAATGTTATCATGTATATGACCTTCGAATTTCGACCTCAATCAGAGAAGTCAATTGAGTTTTAATTATGATTTAATATAACCCTGCCAATTTATTTGCCGCAGACTTAATTGACTTTTAGTACCTAGTAGTACTAGTACACCCTTTTCTTATTTAAATGTATTTGCGACGTATATGCAGTAAGATGTTTAACATTTTATAGGAAATAGAAGAAGAAAAAAAAGCAGCGGAGGAAGCAAAGAAAACAGCAAAACAGAAATCTTTGTTAGGATTCTTGTCGGGCGTGAACAACAATGAAGAGGAAGGTTCTATTGAATTTTCGTTTGCTGGTCTCTTCAAATGTCTATTGTGCACACATCCCAAAGGCAATGAAGAAAAAGTACAATTGCTTCATATTGCATCAACATTAGAGAAGTTGGAAAAGAAATTGGATGTCGTTGAAAGGTGGAAACTAGTTATTAATTTATTACCATTCACGACTACATTATTAATGTAATGTTAATGAAACCTAATTAAAATTTAGACAATAAAGGTACAAGTTGGTAACGGACGACATGAAGTTGTAGCAAACGACGTGTCGCAGCGAAAATACTGAGATTTCTATGTATTTCTTTGAAATTCCCTCCGTAATTAGCGACACGAAGCTAGCGACGCGTTGTAGAGCAGCAGACGGTGGTGTCGCCCGACCACAGATCAGTAGTGCCGCTGATGCCGGAGCAACGACAGGTCGAGCGAGTTTCTTCGCAAAATGATTTTTCCGATTCTGAAGAATAAAAACTAATAAAAGATAAAAATTGCGAATATATTCTCAGTCAGACACGGAAAACTCGAAATCAACTGTCATCCATCTGCTGTTGCCGTCTGCAGTCGGGTACGAAATCATGGCGACATGGAGCGACACGTCGTCTGCTGCTGCTGCGTGTACTCGGCTACCAACTTGTACTTTAAGGCTGTGAACTAAAATTATTATCCATCATAAATATGTTTTTGTAGGTCTGTAGATCCTCATGGTTTAAATAGAGGCCGGAAATTGTCTGTAGGACACCGGGGTAGCACTAACGGTGACCATGCGTTGAACCCATTGACTGAAGGACCAGAAGACGAAAATGATTCCGATTCAGAAACTGACACCCTCTCCACTTCACCACGGGTAAACTGTATTATCCAATCAATCAATATTAGATATTCCAAGAATTACAGTATTTTACATGTTTTTCTTCTTTTAAAGGAGCAGAGAGATGATCTTATCAATCCGTACTGGATAGAGGACCCCGAACTTAAAAAGGGAGAAGTTGACTTTTTGAGCCCGTCTGAATTATCATTTTGGAAGGAACTGATTGATAAGTATTTATATCCCATCGACGCAAATAAAGAGGAACAGGTAAATTGAATTTTAATTTAAAAATCTATTTAAATATTCAGAATGCTTTGCCTAATTGATTTCAGAGATTGCTTTTTTAGTGATTTATTTTACAGATTTTTATTTCAGGTTATACATTTCATTTATATTAAAGAAGTTGACTGGGAGTAATGTTACATTTTACGTTCAGATTTGATTTTTTACGACGACATCATCATGGCTATATGTTATTTATGTTCTCTGTCAACTTCGTGTGATATTAACTCTCCCATAATTTTAGGCCCGTATATCCAGGGATCTCAAAGAATTACGGGATTCTTCTGTTTTTTCATTCTTTATGGTCAATGCTCTGTTTGTGCTCATTGTATTCTTGCTACAACTGAACAAGGACAACATTCACATTAAATGGCCGTTCGGAGTTAAAACTAACATAACTTATGACGAGGTTACGCAAGAGGTAACGTGAGAGTCTACTACACAGCGATCGGCCTTCAAAAATGACTCGGAACAGCGACCTATCAAAGCATATTGTTATCATCGTTATGTCTCCTAAACTCGGATCAATATCCGTTCCGCAATCCCAGTCATAATTGAAAGTTGACGCATTTTAATAAGTATCGTTTGTTTTATCTAAATTTTACAGGCTCGCATTGCCGGCGACTTGATAGAGCTTCGCAATAAGTCAGTTTTTGCCTTTGTTATGTTCAATGCTTTGTTCATATTAATAGTATTTTTATTGCAACTCAACAAAGATCAACTCCACGTGGATTGGCCTTTGGGAATAAAGACAAACATTACATACATCGAGGAGACAGGCGAGGTACAGCCAAATATTATTACGAAAAGTGTGTCACTTCACAAGTCTAACGACCTTTCTTCTAACCGGTCTGTCTTGGGATGGCACACCCGCATGGAGTCTTGGCGGTGAAGACACTCGACTACCTGGGCATCACTTTATTGTCTCTACACAATCTAATCAAATTCCGAGCCCCTGTCAATTCCCTACCCTATATATTTTTATGAAGAATGCTGATGACAAACGGCATAACAATCCCTTTATCCAAAAGTATAATAATCATATCCACCACAGTCTGCGTAGGATATAAGACTGTGGAAATATTTGATCTTGATAAAACACACCCAATAGTCTTTTGCACTCCTTGTACCTTACTTAGGTGGAGTTTATTAATTTTTCTATTCTGTCTATTAAGGTGGCGGAATTCCTTCTAATTAAACACGGTATAAGGGTCACTTGTGTAAATTATACCTTGGAAGACCTGGTGAACAGTTCTTTTAACATAACTTACAATTTTTTATAAGACATAGAGAGTAAAAAATCTTCCGAGATAATGCAAATTGTCTTTATGTTTATTTTATGTCTCATATGAAAACTTGTTGTGTATGCACATAGTTTGATAAAATCACTTATTTTCAATAAATACACTTCACAAAACAGATTTGCACTCTTTGTATATGTGTTTACTAAAATGTTATACTCTATGGTGTTTCCAAAAATAGTGACAAAGCATTGCAGTAAAATAATCATTATCATTTTAAAGCAGTTTTCAGGCAGTTACATATATTGGAATTATTTTCACGTGAAAAGCGCTTGCGCGCAATTGCCGTTGAAATTGTTTGGACACACCTTAAAAATAATAATTACATTTCTATGTATCGTTTTTCATTTCATCGTCTTTCTATATTTTCGTTACTAAATTAGATTATCAATTAATGTTGCATTCAATGACTAAAAAATATAATTAATATTTTTTCCAACATTCGACATTATATTGACAAATAATTGAATATTACAGGTACTGATTTCGAAAGAATATCTACAATTGGAACCGATCGGTTTGGTCTTTGTGTTCTTCTTTGCCTTGATCTTGGTTATCCAGTTCACGGCTATGTTGTTCCATAGATTCGGAACACTATCGCATATATTGGCATCGACAGAATTGAATTGGTTCTTTACAAAGAAGGTAATTAGTAATTTCAATAATTCTCTGTGATCTCGTTCATTGCTATTGAAGATTAAGTTATCAATAACTTTATTACGGTTTGCAGTCGGAAGACTTATCTCAAGATGCTCTACTGGACAAGAATGCAATAGCAATAGTCAAAGACTTGCAAAAGCTAAATGGTTTAGATGATGATTATGATAATGATTCTGGGTCGGGACCGCACAATGTCGGAAGGCGGAAAACAATTCATAACTTAGAGAAAGCGAGACAGAAAAAGCGTAACATCGGAACATTGGATGTAGCTTTCAAAAAGAGGTTCTTTAACATGAATGCGAATGAAGGACCAGGTAATTATTTACTACTATTTTAAAATGATAATATAAAGATTTTTTTTTATCAAGTGTATCTATTTTCTATAGGTACACCAGTCCTCAACAGGAAGATGACATTACGAAGGGAAACATTGAAAGCTTTAGAAACGAGAAGAAATTCCGTTATGGCAGAAAGGAGGAAATCACAAATGCAGACTCTCGGAGCCAACAACGAATATGGCGTTACAGGAATGGTAAAATAAAAACCTGACATTTCCAATTAATTGCAATTTTTTTATCTTTGTTTTCAATATTTTAAAATCTGTATAATTTATCTAGATCAAAACACATAAAAAAACACAAGGTGATCCGTTATCTGTGCTTTAGCACAGATAGCTTCTGGGTTCGAATCCTGGTTTGTTTTTGTGTTGAATTCAATTGCCGGTTTCCGACTCATGGCTATCAATCTCTATATCTACTTAGTTATATATTTCATAAGTATTTTTGTATACCAGGCGACTAACTGCTCTAGTTCAGTCGCGAATATAGCTAAAACGTTAGAAAATGTACCTACCACTCCAGCTATCCTTATTTTGCCGGCCTGAAGAATCCTCTACTTTATGTAGCCCTGAAACTTTAACAACAAAAACTAGAAACAACACCATTATGGTGGTTTCAGTTACCTTCCCCATTTTATTCTTATTTGATGCAGTCAAAGAAACTAGTCTTCCGTTGCTATTATAGATTTGCTAAGTTAACCAGGCAATAACGTTACGTCAACATCACGTTTATTATATAGAAATTTAAGAAACATGGTGCAGTGTGAGTTGCCCTTGTACTTGAAGTTTGACACAGTCGTCCGGGTTTAATGCACTGTATTTATTTATTACAGCTGAACAATAATTTAGGCGTGCCACGGCATCGAACATCCACGGCCAATATTTCTGTAAAGGACGTGTTTGCCGACCCCATCGGGGGTCAAGTTAATCGAGGATACGAAACATCACTGGGCGACGACGAAGACACGAACTCTATGCGACTCCAGCCGAGGCAAAACCAAGTCACCTTCCAGAGATATCAATGAGCTCCACACTAGCACTCCCTATGAGCTGCCAAAGTACTCTAAAGTACATAGACTAAAAACTGTAGATACTCATTTTATATATTTAGTTAGTATTCTGAATTATGAAAACTGAATTTATTTACGAAACATCATATTTGCTTGTGATATTTTTTAGATATTTTACCATCCCAAGTGGATTTTACTATGTTTTGACAACGATGATGATGATGTGAAATTATTAAGTACCATTTTAGTTAATATTCAGCTTTATTTATAGGAAATAAGATCTTAATTGTACACTGCCACTAAACATTAGACATAGAACATTTTGTATTTTTTTTATTACAATAAACTGTAATACAGGTTCTCCAATCGAATCAAGTCTTATTTTAAATAAATGAAAATTTATAAATGTTAAAGAGCTTTTCGTTTTTCAATTTAACAAGTGAGTATCGAGTGAGTTTATACAACGCCGTTATCTTTTGCATATGCTTAATTTATTTAATAAAAGACTTACTTAGTTTTCTAAGAAGGAGACAAAATCTGTTAGCTTGAATAGTTGGTCTTCACTTGAGGTATGGAGTGGCGCGGGTTGCGTGGGTGGTACAGGGTTGACAGTAACTCCATCGTCTTTTATCGCCCACTTGCGATCGCGGCAGGCGTGCAGCACAGCCTCGCGGCTCAGACCGGTCATGGAAACTACCGTGTCCAATGATATGGAGCTGTATGAACTTCCAATTAAATTGAAGGCCCTCTCTCGTACTTTTTCTGGAAATCAATGAAACAATAGGTTGAGCAGTGCCACAACACGAAAATGATAGGACATCTGTAGTGATTTCGGTATCAGAATTTTCCAAGATGAATGTATTTATGGCCTTTCTACACTTTGGCATTATAAGAAAAAGCCAATTGAGTGCGAGTTCGATTCGGACATGGAGGATAGGTAAACGGGGTAAAGTAAACGAAATTCTATTTATTTCGTCAGTTAGATTAACAAAAATAATGGACACTTTTTTTTGTCAATTAACCAAAAATCACAAATATAAAGCGCTTCAAAGTTTAGGAGTGCGGGCTCATGACGTCACTTCTAAGTCAAATTGTACCAAGACGTGACGTCATGCGACATTTCAAATCAATATATATATCTAATGTTTAGATTATTATTTATAAAATACATCATCGTATATACCAAGATGTAATGTAGTCTGCACCTATGTTAACTAGAAAAAAAAGTGGCGAACTTAGTTTAGTTATTTCTGTCAGAGACTTAGGGGTATTTACTTATTTGTCAAATTGAAAAAAACATTAATTAGGTCCACTTGCAGCAAAATTGCTAGATATCGGTTCAACTAAACTAGCTGTTATAATAGCTCACACAATAATGTCAAATTGACATTGATATTTTTCTATGGCATAGATCTAGTGTTAGTTGTATCGAGATTAGCGAATTTCCTACAAGTGTGCCTAAGATTTTTAAGAAACAAATCTGCTTCTAGAATATATAAATTTCGAGGATTTAATATAATATCAGTGAGTGACCTACTCTAAACACCTTACAAAAGATTGCAGCATCAAAATACTAAAATGTAGCGATAGGGTACTGATTATAATGATAAATGCACAAGAATTAAATATTACGTTGCAAGTGTCTATGTCCCCAGGGTATTGACTTTGGTGGTCTCATACTATTAGTGACTGTTTGCAAATATTTTATTATATGCCAAATATGGTAAAAATGATACAAATTGGAATACTTAGAAATATAATTATGTATTTTGACAAAGTATGTTATGAAAAATTTTTTTTTTTTGATAAATTCTTTATAGTACATTCAAGTCGGACAGAAAAAATAAGAGTAAAGGTACATAAATTTACATCAAGCTGGAAGTAAGTAAAATGGTTCAAAACATAATTAAAAATAACATTTCAAAATTCCCCATCGTTTTGGTACTTGGAAAAAAATTTACTCTTGGTCAAATGTAAATAAAGTGGGGTTTTCGTGATTTTCATCAAAACTGTAAGTTATATCGTCAAATTACCTCAGACAAAAATTGTAGATCATAAAATTATCTATAAAAAGGTATCAATATTTTTTTTCCTAAGAGCCACCGTTCCTGAGATACATATAACGATTTACGAAGTTCTAAGCGTCATAATATGAATTAGTACGTCACCTACATACATCTCTGTAGCTGTAATATAAGTAAAGATATTTTTCTATCGGTGATTGTGACTTACATTTAAAATATAAAATATACATAAGTATAAGTATGTGAATATCAGGTAAAATGAAACCCAGTACTTTAATTTATACACCAGTGTAACCTTGAGGCAACATCTGTCTCTCTGTTCAATTGTGTGCGTGCTTAGGCACGTATACCACAGTTGCTGCTCATCAACATCTTTTTCGGGTACATTACCAAAAAGTAAAGTGTGGCTTGGTTATCAGCTAGGCCCAAAAGACGGGATGGAAATTAATCGACAATATATTAGAACCAATTCAGACTTTACTCCTACCTGCGCCGAAAAATCTGCTAAAAACAATTTTTTGCAACTGTAAAAAGAGATGCAGTGCTAAATGTGGTTGCAAAAAAGTTTTGTTCTCTGGCATGTCCGAATTGTCTAGGCCAGTCGTGTTTAAATGTTGAATCACAAATAGTAGAAGATTCGTAGATCAAGAAGAAGTAAGAGCTGCTAAACCCTCCGAGTAACGGTCTGTCTGTAAGGCTAGAAATTCTTATGGTGATGAGTCATAGCATGCTTAGTACGGTAAGCATCGCCTGGCACTCTTCAGACCTGCACGTCATGAAGCCGATTATTTTTGAAGGTGTCAAAAAAATATTAAAAAAAAAACTTGTTGCTATAAACTTGAATTTTTTATACAAAAAAAAATGCCAGGCGTTTACGATGAGCACAAGTATCCGCCGGGCGAACCGGAAGGTGTGTAATATATACATAAACTTTATTCTGTAATGTTGAAATTTATATATGTTTGTTTAAGCGATTTAAAGTAAGTTAGTATAATATTAGTATTATTATTATTTGATTAAAATTTTGACTTAATAAAAAAAACTGAATTATATACACAACAAGTAATGTGAAAATACATAAAATAAGATAAAATTAAAACAAATAAATAAAAAGGTTTATTTATACCTTCTAAAGCTCTAATGATGTTTGCTACTTCAGGTTCGGACCAATTGTATGCAGCTATGGCATGGTACATGCCAGCCAAATCTTTTTTCCACAACTTTTGTCCGATAGCCCATATGGCTCCTAATTCTGTGTTGCTGCTTGTGATGTTTTGAGGTATTCTTTTCCATAGAAATTTTGCATTGCACCTGAAAATTCGTTATGCAAATTATATACATAATCAATTAAGGTCACCAGGGGCAATGGGCTACAAAAAATTACGCCGACGTTGTGACTTTAATATTTTTACATTATTAATACAAATTATCAAATACAATTGATTTTTTGCATCACACATGTATTAAATATAACGTACACGAGAACAGATTGATATAAAGTCAATAAACTAATTTTAAATTAAATATATTCCGCCTAAGGCCGTGAATCCACCAAAGATGAGATGTGTGCGGTGTACTGTGTGCTGTGCGAGAAGAGAAGTTTTTCAGCTCGGGGGACTCCACCGAAGCGGAGATGTGTGCGGTGTGCTGTGTGCTGTGTGCTATGCGAGATGAGATGTTTTTCAGCTCGGGCGAGAGGGGGGTGGGTGACACCGCTCACTGCACGCCGCTCACATCTCTCGTCTCCACTGCGCTTCGTCCGCGCACAGCTCACATCTTCGCTTCCATCGCGCCATACAAATATTACACATCTCCGCACAGCGATCTCCACTGAAGCTGAGCGGAGAGGAGATGTGTCAATAACACAATTCTATTGGTTGTTTAAAAAACATCTCTCCGCTCGTCTCGTCTCCGCTTTGGTGGAGTCCCGGCCTAAAGCCGCCAATAGTAACACTTGTCCCCCGATCTGGGGTAAATGTAGGTAAACATCAGTATGTTTTTGTTGTTGTATCTATAATTCTAAAATTAACAGTAAACGTCAGGCCCAACTTAATGGTACTAATTTTGTACTTCAATGCTCTGAATTCGAGTTCAATTTGCTCTAAATTTACTTAAAGTACCATCAGGTAAATGTTACTATTTCCATTTAATTTAGTTAATTTAGGGACATGTAGTTTTAATAACTTTGGATAATCATATAACACAAGTAAAAACTGATATTATCAGGCACTACCACAATAGAATTAAAAGTCTCATATAAAATGTTAAAATTTAAGTAAAACCATAGGAGCAACAATTTCCAAAGTGGCACATGTATCAAAAAACTTAACTTACGGATAGGATTAAACATTTTATTGAAAAATGACTAACTGTTAATCATTTCACAATACAATCCAATAGTGCATAAAAAAATATTTAGGAAATGTAATCAATAAAAGTTACTCTACAGAGCCACAGATGTAACTTATTTTAAAAACAAAACAGTTAGGCTATTGTAGCTCCTGGCTACAATAGCCTGGGGGGACCTTATGTATTTAAGACAAGGTGGAAGATTAACTTTTTTACTAATATTAAAAGGGGTAAAAATTTAGAAATAAGCTTCCTCGTTAGGGGTTTGCGGAGGTGGTAGGTAACACCCGATTCAACCCCAGTCTGCCGGAGATTCGTAGTTTTTTTCAGATAAAAAATAATTGTAAACATAACCTCAAAATAAAATATGTATAAAAAGCAAGAGAGAGATGACATGTTAGGTTAGGGCTGAGGGGAAAAACAGTAGTGGAGAGTTTACAAACCCCACAAAAGCTTTATATTGATAAAAAAAATTACAACTAGATTCTAACATGCAATTTGTTTATAAAATCTAACTTATCAAGTGACCTAAAGGACTAAGGCCAACTAAAAGCTTCCGAACGTCTCCGGCGCTGCGGGAAGTGCAGCCCCTCCGTCCTTGAGTAACAAACCGCAGGCACTCCATGGTCACCTATGCAGCTACAGCCCAGGTTGTGGGTCCGGAATTCTAGATGTCGAAGTCATATCAAAAATGTTCAGTGTCCAAATTTATAGCCAAATTGAGTCGTAATGCAATTCAGTCCGGGGGGCGCGCCAAGGCCAGTAAAAAGGGTCCAAATCACACAAAAGGAAGCAGAGAACATTCACGGAAACCGAAATGTTTCGTTGCACATTGTTCTGATTGCTTTTTGCACGTCTTTTTACTTTTCTTCTCACTACATGCGTTTCGTTTCACTCAATAATAAAAAAATATATACGTAGGTACCTCTCAGGCAACTAAAATCAATGTCAGGAGTTTCAGTAAAACCCCCTGAGCCCCCCCACAGTGTCAGTTTTTCCAGAACGAGAAAGCTTATTTCTAAACCCAACCCTTAAAAGGTAAAGCACTATTGCCAATTAAGCATAAAAATAATTTTAAATTTACCTTAGTAAAGGTTATACAAACAATCACCGATTTAGAATATTGTTCCATGATTTTCAACATGCAGTTTTCATTACTAGAAAGCTAGTGAGAGAAGACACTTCTTTTCAAAATATTATGAACATTAAACTATTTTTTTTTCAATAAATTAACTAATACAAATACTCGTAATTTCGACATTACATTAGTAGCGTTCATGTCACATTGATGTGTACTGGGATTCGTTACAACCAAAAAAGTCACAAAATTCCCTATTTATTGTGAAAATCTCTAGGTTAGGTTAGAGTAGTGACCAAAAAACACACTAACTGAACAAGAGAAAGTGAGTGTGTCACAGCAGCAGCCAGTGAAGCTCAAGAAAAAAAGCACTAAAAATTTTTTTTATATTTAATAAAATCATATATCAGAACTAAGCATTTCCGTGCGGTGGGTGTGGTAGGGTTCATCCCCTTCCTTCCCCCCATTTCGAAAATTAAGGGATAATATTCTAAATAGCTGCTTAAATTTTATTTAATCTAGTAACCAGACTATAGTCTCTTATCATCTAGAATTCATACTTACAGGTCATTTTGATATAAATATATGGCAAGAAGCTGTGCATAGGTAGAAGGCGACGCTACTCCTGTTGGCGCCTGTAAATAATTGGTAATTAATGTAAGAAAGGCAGTATTTACGAATATTTTTAAAAAGTGGATAACCTACAAATGAATTTCGTATCTATAATATAAAGTATTTTTGATATAATACTTAGTATATTTATTGTACCTCTAGTTCCTGTTTTTCCAATTCTGTACAAAGTTTATCAAAGTTTGTAATCATTTTAGCAGAATATACTTATTTTATCGGGAAATTTCGCTCAAGAAAAGAAAAACAAACAAATGTCAACAAAACTTTTGACATTGACATTATACTTTTTTTAACTTCTCCCTTTTCTGGGAAAGCGAGGAGAACAATGCCCATACAGGATTGTCTTTAACTATTTTACTTGTTTGATTTTTTTTAATAACGGGGTTTTGGGTATTTTTTGTTAGTCTTCTTGTTTTTCCTAATATTTAAAGGGTGTGTTTTATTCTTTTTTTTTATGTACATTTGTTCAATATCACAAAGAAATAAAAAGGCAGTTGAAAAGCAAAATAGAAACATAACTTTTTACGCAAAACCGTAGGATTAAACACAATTAATACCTATAAAGCAAAATAAGTAACACTAATAAACAAAAAGAAACAAGAATACTTGTAATAAGAAATTTAAAAAAAATGTTTCAAATTATTTACAAAATTCTGAGCAAAATCTAAACCTAAACAACATACAACCGAAACCAATAAAAAAAACAAATAAAAACAACAAAACGAAAAATTAAATGTCTTCGACCTCAAGGACAAATACATACCCTATTATATATACAATTAGCCTTAGAGCACATACCAATGGAGATGCCATACCGTTCACTTCCCGAACAAAAATTTTCACCATTTTTGGGGCGGGACCGGGTACACACGTATAGCACACTAATGAAAATATGCACTTTGCACATGTAACTTGTCCAAGGCCTTTGACTGTGTAGAACATAAAACCTTATTGGGCAAATTGCAACATTATGGCGTCTCAAAAAACTCACTAAAAATGATTGAATCATATTTGAGTGACCGATTGCAAACAGTAGTTATAAATAAAGCAAAGTCTTCTGGAGCTCCTATTATTATGGGCGTGCAACAGGGTTCGATATAAGGACCGTTACTTTTTTTGATTTATATGACCTTCCTTTCTATGTAAACAACTTATGCGAGACGGTATTATTTGCAGATGATACATCCCTAATATTTTAACTAAATAGATATACAGAAAATGTTCACGATGTGAATAATGCCCTTTCCAAAGTAGTGAGTTGCTTCACTAATAATAACTTGTCATTAAATTCAAATAAAACAAAATGTATCAAATTTTCATTACCAAATGTTAGGCAGGTTAGTAAAACTATTAAAATCAACGTAGAAATAATACAATGTGTTGACTCAACAGTATTTTTAGGAATAACCTTAGATTCAGGTTTGCAGTGGAATCCTCATATAACTGCCCTCTCAGGAAGACTTGGCACGGCTGCTTTTGCTGTGAAAAAAAAATGGATGCGTGTAACTTATGTACGCGCGTGAGAAGTTATACTTCTTTAGCATCATTAAAAATATTTTTTAATTGCATGCAAATAATTAATAATTACAATAAAATAATAAAAGGACTGGAAAAAGATAGCTAACACAGTCAATTAAGTTCAGTTTTAATTTGAAAAATTAAATAAATATTCAAAATATTCAATTAAAATCACTACTGAATTTCAGTTATTAGTCCATATGTAATTAGCACTTGTAAGTAACTAAAACACGTTGTGTCTATATAGAAACTAGAAACATGTGGATAAATATTATAAATATGAAAACAGTGATCAGAGGCGACGAGCGTGCCATCATTGTTTTTGACAACGCGATCATCTTATGGAGCTCCGTGGATCGTTCAAAGTACCTTTCGAACAGATGTCTAATAATTAGACACTAACATTCATAACGCGCCCGCGGCCAACTTCATGGTGTTACTATTGTGTTACAGTGATGCGCGCGCATCTCGAAATTTTACTCACATAATTTTTTCATAACGCGCCCGCGGCCAACTTCATGCTGTTACTTTTGGGATACAGTGATGCGCGCGCATCTAAAAATTTCACTCTCATCATTTTTTCATAACGCGCCTAAAGAAGTATAACTTCAAAAATTAGATTACTGTCGGATGTCGAGACGGCAAGGCTTGTATATTTCGGTTACTTCCATATAGTCGAGTCAATGAAGCTTTTTACCTGGAAACCCGGTGGAACAGCTTCGATTTTGATGTTTTTTTTTTAATTATTTTGTTTTTTTATATTATTTGAAATCAGAAACCTCTGGAGAGGGGGAAATAATTTTTTATATTGTTTAAACAATTTTTATGATATTTTTAGAAAAAAATGTTTTTTTTATAAAATATCAATTGAAAACTCACAAAAAAAATATGTTTATGTTATTGTTTTCATATTGTTATCACAAATAATTTTAATTTACATGTTATTATATCAAAAACTTTTAAAAACAATTAATTATAAGATCTTTCATGTAATATAATGACATGACGCTGATATACATAAAAAAGTTACGATATATTTCATGAAATATAAGAAAATAATAGTTTCATTATTAACATAATTAAAAAAATATTAATAAAAAAAATATATTATATATATATATATATATTTATATCATATATTCTTGTATATATATTGGGTCAGAGGCCGTAGCTACTGGCGTTTGGCCAAAGCCGTGCAACAAACCTTCTGCCAGCCCTCGCTGCCACCTCTGAGATGCCCAGACGGAACACTAGCTCATAAGCCGCAGGAGAAAGCCAATTTACTGGCAAAACTCTTTGCGGCTAACTCCCGAATCGATAATTGCAATGCACTACCACCATCATTACCTCATTGTGGCACAACGATGCCTGATATTAAAATCAGGCAGTGTGAGGTTCGTGCCGAATTGCAATCAGCGTCCGCGTCCGGAAAGCTAGTGGACCTGATGGCATCCCAGCAGTAGTACTGAAAAAATGTGCAACGGAGTTGTCTCCTGTGCTCACGCGCTTGTACCAATGCTCGTATTCTTTGGGGCGTGTGCCGGAGACTTGGAGAGATGCTAAAGTGCAACCGGTGCCCAAAAAAGGGGATCGCTCAGGCCCGGCAAACTACCGGCCAATAGCAGTCATCTCAGTTTTATGTAAAGTTCTAGAAAAGCTCCTTAATAACCATCTGACCCGTCATCTTATTTTATATTTATTTTATTTATGTATCATCTTCAGGGCAAAACACTACCGCTACAGAGCAACATTTCCATGCTCGGTATGGAAGTTCGCTCAGACCTGAATCCAAAGGACTACATCGAAACCGTGATCAAAACAGCTTCACGCAAACTCGGAGTCCTGAACAAGGTGAACCCGATCAACTGTGCTTGTTGTACAAAACGCAAGTGCGGTCCTGCGTGGAATATTGCTCGCACCTCTGGGATGGCTCCTCCAGGTACTTGCTCGATGCTTTGGATAGGTTACAGCGGCGCGCGATCCGCATCACAGGCGATGAGGAGGTGACTAAACACCTTGAGCCGTGACGTGGCGTCACTAAGCGCGTTCTATCGTCTGTACCACGGCGAGTGTTCTGAGGAGTTATTCTCTCTTATCCCACCTTCCCCTTTCCTTCAGAGGACCACGCGCGCTGGCCTACGTTGTCATCGTCTTACTGTGGCCACAATTCCAACGCGTACAAAGATATTTGGTGACTCATTTCTTTGTCGCACTATCCGTAAATGGAATGCTCTGCCCGCACACGTGTTCCCTCCCTCTTACAACCTGGGATCCTTTAAAAGAGACGTGAAGAAGCAACATGCAGGCCGGCAGGATGAGGATGGCTGGTGTGGCAGGTAGAACTGCTGTATCAGCTATCTTCTCGTCTGGACTTCACCTTCACTTGACATCAGGTGGGGTGGAGTCATTTGTCTGACCTATCTATAAAATATATATATATTAAGTAACTAAAATTTAACGTAAGTGCTCAACGCATTCGTATTATTGACCAATACATCGTATTTTAATGGTTTGAATATTAAATTATTATTAAAAGCCTCATTTTAACAACTATTTTTTATACTAACATTAACATATTAATATTTTTTTCAAAAAAAAGCGATAAAAGTGATTTTTTTATAAAAATGTCATAAATATTGTTTAAACAATAAAAAAAAATTCCCCCCTTCCAAAGGTTTCTGATTTTGAATAACATAAAAAAACCAATTTAAAAAAAAAATCAAAATCGGAGCTGTTCCACCGGGTTTCCAAGTTTTGCCTGTTTTATGTCTTTATTGACTCTACTAATAGTGTCATGTCATATGGTATGTTACTATGGGGAACAGCCAAGGGCGGATCCAGCTTTGGCGCCAGGGGGGAGTCACATAGTCGTGGTCAAGTAACAGTGGGTACAGATTATGAAGTACAGATTGTGAAGTGGGTACAGATGGACCCAGCCCGGGGGGGGGGGGGTCATGACCCCCATGACCCCCCCTCTGGATCCGCCCTTGGGAACAGCGGCTGATATTCAAGATATTTTTATATTACGCGCTATTTAAAAATTGAAAACGCGTGATTCACTGAGAGAATTATTTAAAGAAATCAATATTTTGACGGTTCCCTCGCAATATATATATGACAACATTATGTATGTCCACAAAAACTTACATACCTTTTTAAAAAATAGTGATTATCACAATGTCAATCAAGAGGTAAAAATAGACTTGCTGTTCCGACTTTCAGACTTCATAAAACTAGTCAATCATTCATGGGGAAATGTATACAAATAGTATAATAAACTTCCACTTAATGTAACTGAACTTCCACTACATATATTTAAACTTCATGTTAAGGAAATTTTAATGAAAAAGGCATATTATAAAGTTCAGCAATATTTAGACGATAAAAAGGTGTGGACACATTTCAATGTGCTCGATTGTCCACTGAAATCTAGAGAGAGAGATATCATTATGCGTATAATTCTTATTCTAAATTGACAATATTGTAAGGAAAGATGTCATGGATCACATCTTTTATATATATCCTTTTCTTATTTCGTAGTAACTTCTGTTCTTTTATTTATTTATACTTTTAAAATTAATTAAATTATTAAAGACCTGATGTGGATTATGACTTTTACCAAATAAATAAAAATAGAAAATGTAAAGGGAGGACAAAACTTTCTTTTTCTTGCT